AACGCTGTCACATAACTTCTTAATCTTTAGTCGTTTGCTATATTCACCATCCACATTTTCTAATTCCAGAATCTAGAGGTGTGTTATTAATGTTACAGATTTCATTCATTTATACTAGATTAAATGAAAGTCGATTTAGTTAGTTATCCATGAGAATTTTATTCAGCTTTTGATTTATCTGTCATATTTGCAAAGAAATACGTACAACGCTAATTTCTTCCAGTTAATACGAAAAAAGAAATGTATTTTTATCGGTTTAAAGCTTTCAATGTCAAAAGAATCAGCTTACCGTTATTGAATGTGTTTCTTGAGTTATATTAAATGATGACGAAAAATTCGTTTCATATATTTGCTTTCTAGTTCATAACAGGTGTTGTCATTATGACGATAATCAGTCAGTTAAGTATAATCTTTCCTAATCATACATTACGATGTCTAATATTCTAATAAACTTCTTTTTCTATCTAAAATCACATTTATTTCGAAAAAAGATCTATATTCTTGCTTCAAATATCATCTAAGAGCCATTTGACTCTGTTGACCTATAATTGCCCTTTAAACATTAAAAGCACGAAGTTCGGCAAAGGGACCTCTTTTCCATACACACAATCTTTCATTGTTATGATTCATATTACGTAATCTAGTATCATTATCTCTCTACTACATCATCATGTTTATTACTAATTCATATGTTCTCATGGAACTAATACTTTAACAATAAACTAACTCTGTGTATTAATCATATACCACTAAAGTTATTCAATCTGGTTGCAATTTGTCATTTAAAAGTAAAATATCAAATACTCAACATTATGGAATATGAATTTTATGCATTGATTTAATTTCATAACAGGAATACTTTGGTCCACAAATTATAAACAGTTGTCATTACGTTTGCTTGTAGAATTACTTTCCAAACCCTAATGATAATTTCGTATCGAAATACTAATCTCAATTGTTTATAAACCGACGTCTATTCAATTATACAAGTTAATATTTATGTATAGATTTGATAAGCTTAACAATATATACATATATCCCTAAAATATTTAGCTTTTATTGTTTCTGTACACTTCATTCGTCATAACTTCGTTTTTTTAATACTAACATGTTCAAGTATACAGTTATGTCTCTACACCCACAGCAATTACTGAGGCAACTACTATTCGCTTTAGAATTAGGACTATAAACAAGTACACTATACTTGTAATCTAGTTTACATTTATTAGGCTGATAATTATCTTCCGAATTATCATGTAATATTAGGTGTCCTTTTTCTATAAATCCAGAGCATTTTCATTCGTTATTATTTTATATGAATTAAAATTACTTTTGTATTGTTTGGACAAATCTATCAATGAAAAGTTTCTTTTAAACAAACTCCAATATTAATAATAAAATGAATAAATCTGTAATGTCCCATTGACTAGGGAAATTAAATTTTCAATCATTTTCTGACTCAGTATAACTTACATCTTCGAAAAAAAAAACTAAGTATATAAATCCAGGTTTCAATTATGCAGAAAAATGACAAAAATATTTAGTGCAATCAGTCGAAAATAGGTTCGACCGAGTCAACGTCAAATCACTTTAGTCGATGAGATTTGCATGTAATATGATTGTATATGTGTGTTAATGTTAATGGGTGTGAAAAATTTAACATTTGTAATGTGAATGGTTGAGTTGAATTTGCATGTGCACTAACGTTATGAGATGTAGCTAGGATAAATCAACCAACTTAAATGGATGGTAAAAACTTCTTTCCGATTGAAAGCAGTAAGATTTAGTAATATATGGAAAGGTTCAGCTACTCGTCTTTCTTTGTAGTTGGAGAAGCCTTTTTGTATTATTTTGATACTTTTAATAACAACTTGATGGTTATTGAAGATGGCATACACTGCTATTTTTGATTTACTTTGGATATTTTTAAGTTCTAAAAAATTATTAGGTGGTTTTTAATGTAGCTTATATGTTCAATGGCTGAAGTCAAGATTTCATGAGATGACCCTCCTATTTAGAAGGCATCAAAATCGATAGACCGTAATCTGTAGACACAGTTCTGTATTAACATTAATAGGATCTCCTCGTTTATGCGGACTAAAACATTTCGAAGGGTATTGGTTGCTTTGTAGTATGCTTTAATTCTGAATCGTTTTAAGATCGACTAGAGCTCCTTTGCTGTATCATGGGGGTAGGTTAGAACCATGGTACCAATCGATGGTATTTCCTTCAAGCTACTACTTAATGATAAATCGTCTCATTTTAGCAAATTTTTAATAACAATCACAAAAAATTATTAGACTGTAAGATGTTCATTATTTTTTTCTGTTCCTCTTGGATGTCCTCTTCATTTGTATGAATATTGATCGTTCTTCCAGAAACTTTTGAGTTAAGAGTTTTTACACTGACTGGATATGCTGAACTGAAATCAGTATGACGATTGGAGTCTGTTGATTTACCATAGATGGTTAGGTTTAGAATCTTACTTAAAAATGACAGCTCACAGTGCTCATTCTCATAAGTGGATTTAGTGAGGATGAGAGTGTATTAATCAGCTTACAAAAGATCATAGGTACGTCTTTCCTATGATGACAAAAGTATCCTCCACATATCTACTGCAAATTTGTAATTCAATATCATTGGTGAAAATACTTGATTCTATATGAAACGCGAATAGTTTAGCTACAGTTGAGAGCATTAAGGATCTCATTGTCACTCCCTTAGTTTGTTCAAATGGTGTCCGATCAAAGGTAAATGAAATTGAGTTTTGGCAGTTTTAGGGAATTTATGACTAAAATAATGCCTGAAGGACATCTGTCAGAAAAAGTATAATCATTCTTTACTAAACTACCAATAAATTATAGGCATTTATCAATTAGAATACTGGTACATTTATACCAAATACCATTGCTTATCATAGTTTCATTCTTTTAGATAATTAATTCCTATGTTTCACACTTAAATTCATAAGAATCTTTGATTACATTATGTAACTTGTATTAAAGTGGCCTCGATTCGCTGTTTAAATTTTTATATAATGCATATGAAGGACTATTTGTAAAGTTTTCTATAGATCTTAGTGGGATATCTGGGTTATACATTTTGGGTAGACCATAAAATCGTGATATAGTGCATGATTTGGGACATCAAGTAAACCATAAGGCGACACCAATAGAAAGCTTTAGTTTATTTTTCGAAAGTTAGTTTATCTCCAGTTGAACTAAATTACTAAAAATGTGATAACTTTTAATGTCAACCTTTTGTTGAGATCCTATGGACAGGTGTTCAAAGCTTTTCCACTATAATCCCTTTTATTCATGACTACAGCTGTATTACTTCTTTCAGCTTTAACACTAATAATGATTTTTATAGTGGATAAAGGGCTCTCGATTCCTCTTGTGAAACTTTAAGTAGGAAGAGTTTTCGTTTTGTAAAAATATATAATGTTTCTTGAAGCTGTGGATGAAAGTTATTTTCTGGAAGTTTTTCGATTAGTTAGTCTACAACTGGGCCAATTTCTAGAGTGCTAAGTGGTTTTCTCAGTAAATAGAAATTCAATTTCTTTGCACTATTTAGAATTGAGTTAATTTAATTTGTATACGATTTTATTTTTTGAAGAAGTGGCTTACCATGAGTCAGGAAATATCAGGAAATTTAGTTTCGCTGCTCATTGAGATATTACAAACATATTACTTTCCTTATCAATAATTTCTCCAGTACTCAATTTATTTTAAGTTATCAAGTCAAATTTTGGTAATAATACCACCATTGTCTTTTGAACCAGTAGTATTAGCAAAGCTATAAATATGATAAGACGATAATAATGCTAATAATAATTAATATACCCCTAGTTTGTGAGCCTGTTTAGAAGGCCTGAAATTTCGATCACATCCCACTCATTCTACCAGATTTTAAACTGGAGATCCAGTGATCTGTAAAAATGAGAGCCGATTAACGATTAGTTTATCGTTTTACCACTCATTTACTATCATCTCAAAATCTCAACTAATGGCTTATTTAAACTAAATATACAAACGACGTTTCTGAGCTTTTACAAATGAAGATTAACTAGGAATGATATTCGAAAGTAAGTAATACGTTTCTTCGAAACAATTCTTGTTCAATGATTGGATCATCAAATAAATGAGTTTAGTATTATTTGCTTTTCAGGCTCATTCGTTCAGGTATAACTATGTTCCTAATATTTAGTTTCAACAACATTTAGTAGTGTTATGTCAACTCTTTTACTCTTCTACCTCTTAATTTGCTTTATCACTGTACTGATGTAGGATATATCAACTTGGACCAGTGAAAGATTACATCACATTTTAAATGATTCACAGTTGACTGAATGTTCACTGTTTCATGTGGTTTATTATTTTGTGAGAGATTTTACTGACATGCAATTCATTTACGGTTAACTGTTTTCTTTACATAGAGAATCTTTTACAAACTGGATGACTGTTTGAAGATACTCTACTAATAAAAGAATCCTAGTTTATATAATTATGATGAAAAAGTATATTTATCTGCCAGTGTGATAAAATCAAATTAATCTGGAACATATTTTTAATGTATAATTCAACAATTCATCATTTCATTAACTGACTGAAGTATTGCGTCATAATATAAATCTGTTTGATGCTCCAAAGATTTTCTGGGTTAAACAAAGTGGGAAATCGTAACTTTATTTATTTTAAAAAAGTTTAATTATAGTAGTAGCCCTACAGCCGATTTCTATTTGTGATTTACATTCCAGTAGACTGTTCTTTGAAAAAAGATAATGAAGAACTTCTCTTACTAAAGAAGGTGATTATATTAGTCCATGTATACAGAAATTAGCATTTACCGATTTTCATAACTTGATATTTTTAGTTAGAAAATAACTTTTTCAAGAAACATAATTATAAGATGATCTGATTTCAAAATGTTTTAAATTATGGTACCGCTAATCTGTTCATAAAACAGCTCGTTTTCTTAAAACTTTATTTACATGTCAGGTACCGATATTCACAATGTTTTAAATCTTTGAAGTATTTCAATTATGCTACTTTTATGTTATCCTGATGAAAGAGGACAATTTATTTCTAAAAATAACTATTCCAGACTGATGTTCCTTATTCGCCAAAACTTATTTTGCCTGAGGAAATACATCTAATTTTTTGGAGGGGGGGATTTCAGACACATTAATGGCGAACGTAATAGTAAAACTAAACTATTTCCAGATGATGTGGTAAGCTGAATTCTATGTTTGAAAGTGACTTAATTCTTTGCGGTAAGAAAAAAAATTCATCGTAAATCTGTGTAGAATTCGGTCAACGTTAAAGTCTAAACAACAAGACAATGTTTTCAGCAGAACAAAAACCAAATGAGATTTTATTCGAATGAAAAATGCCATTATCAATTTATCTGAAGATTATCATCTCAATAAACAAGCGTAATGAAAGTGGTAATTATTTTTACAACTGCATTAGTTAATATAAATAATCGTGATATTATTAGTATAGCGTATTATAAGGTTAGTCACATCATATAATGATTTTAAATTCATTGGTAATCAAAAATTTTTAATCATTATATTCAAGTTATCATAACATATTTAATTATACTTGTTTCTTCTTTTCTTTTCAAAAACAAAATCTATTTTAGGTCCTGACAAATAAATTAACAAATGAAGTATTATTGTGTATTGCATATGTATTGGAAGTTGCACAAGAGGGTTGTAGGGCACAACATCACATATATCGATTGACACGTTATGGCTAATTTCAATGTACTAAACAGTGATAAAACAGAAAATCAGAAACGTGTAAATTACTGGTTCATTTTATTATTAAAATTTTATTTCAGTGAATAAATGGTGAAGAAGAATTTTAGGTATTTAAAATTATGTTGAATTATTGTCGACAGCATTAATAATTTATTTATCAGAAAGTCTTTACTTTGGTATGTATGCATAGTCTTCTCCTAGGGACTTCTTTAACTATCTATATGTAAACTATGCAAATTCTCTAAAAATATCCTAACGTTAGCTATTCCCTTACATATTATGAAATTATTCTTGTCTGTTGTGGGCCTTTTGTGTCATATATAAACTGAGTTTTTCTATCCATGAGTAATGAGTTTGTTTCACCTACTTACCCTCGTGTGCAGTCGTTTTGTACAGACATTGTACTGTCTTTTATTGTCTTCGATCGATCCGGTGACGCTGAGCGAATGAGTTTTACTTTAGATTTAAATGTGTGTATGATTCGGTACATACATAAGTGTGTGAATTAGAAGATCGAGAAAGAATATGCTGTATACATTTTATTGAATGTTACTTTGAACATTTTCTCTAGATCTTGTATAAATACACACTGATCTAGATTTCAGCACAATTTTGTAGGTGATTTCTTCCAGTTATCGATCCAACCTTACTTTGAAACCAATAATCGTGGTTTGTCAAGTGAACGTCAAAGATAAACAAAGTTTGTATGGAAAAAATTGCTTTTTAGCTTCTCTCTACATTATTTTACTTGGTGTATAATTCAATATACATGAACACTAGTGCTGTAAACTTTTTGTGCCTAGACTAATGTATTTCAAAAAAATAATAACAATTTATCCGCTAACTTGTGCAACAAGTATAAATATTTTGTGTCTGGATTTCTAATGATAATCTTTTATTTATTTCTTTTGTTTCACCTTCTACTTATCTGTATTTGTTTTAAAATGTAAAAGAGATTTCCTAATAATTGACGAAAAATATTTAGTCATGTAAAATTGGTGTTTGCAAGGATTGTTAATGACAGCGTTGATAATGACTATTATTTAAACAGTTATTACATTTAATGTTATAAGTAGTTCGAACAAAGTGAACACTTTCGATACTTCGGAATAATTATACAATGATTTATGTGGTATGAATAAGTATATGATCTTGTTACAATGAGGAATATTGTGTTTTTATCATATATATATATATATATATATATATTGTTATGAAGTCAAATCTTATCGGTATTTTCCAGCTACCTTGGTGATTATTTCTTGAATTATTGTTTGACTTTATGCCTGCACACGAAATACAAAGTGATTCACAATAATTATGTATTTTACTCTGATGTGATGACAATTATGATGTCAATAGTGTATTTTTTTTCTTGCAAAACAGAATAATTATTACTATTATCCATTTGTGTATTGTCTTTCCTAAAGTTTCAAACGTCTTCTGAAGTAAATAGATCTTTGGTTATCGAATAATAATTGTACACCATGACACATTAACAATAATATTAACATATCAATTATTCCTATCCTTGCTCTTTCTATTATTCGATCAGTATTTCTAAAACGCTGCCAATATAGTTAATAAAACTGTTTCACTCCGCAAAACTCAATAATAATAAACTCTTGTCTTCAAATAATTAAAAGCTACACTATGTATGTATCGGCTGATTTATATGAATACTCTTATTACTCTTTGTATTCGTTTTTAATAAAAACAATATTATTACTGTTGAATATTCAGTTACTTGCATGTATATTTTTACTATTATTCCTCTTCATGGTATGCCTGTTTTGTGCTTATTTATGTGAAAATGATTAGATGTTTATGTATATTTATGTATGTATAAAAAACGGTGTTTTATTCCAACACAGAAGATAGAGATGGATGCATTTCTTGACTGAATGTATTCCAATCTGCTTTGATATTGTTTTTTTTTCTGCACTATTCTCTGTGTAAACCCAGTGTTCAGCGTAAACTCTCTTTTATTAGTTGTTCTCTTCTTTTCTTTCCACCCTTTCATTCTAGTATATTTTGAATGTAACGAAAAAAAAATTATGAGAAGAAAAATCTAGAATGAGAATGATAAATTTTCTACCAGTTTTTTTTTCATTTTTTAACACAATAATCGATTATATTACGCAAGTGCACACGTATATCCATAAACTTAATGTACATATTAATTATCACTGTTAATATTATGTTTGGCTCTTTTTTTTAGTTTATTTTGCTTTTCTCTCTGACAAACTGACACGATTTCTTCCTTTTTTTATTCAGTTCTCTTCTGTCCTTTTATCTAAAATGTAATGTGTATGTGTGTGTTATAAAGTTCACTGGAAACAAAATCATACAAATACATTAGATATAACAAATAAGATAAAGATAACCTTAATGTTATAAAGTCATCAGGCTGTTAGGTAAAAAAAAGAAGAATATTCATCTTTTATTTCCAAATATGTTTCTTTATTTTTCTGTTGTATGCGTATGTGCAAACGTATATTTCATAAAGTACTGAAAGTCAAAATATAACATTTTATCTGAATTGTTTGTTTGTTTTACAATTTCATTTGAGATCAATTTAGTTCATTGGCTAAAATTTCAAAGGTAGAAAGTGAATCTAGAAAAATAATCCATACAATTATATATTATCATTCCTTTACAAAACATTAACAAAGACACCATGTAAATATATTAAAAATTATTATTTCTGTTAATTGAATCCAAAATATCACAGTAAACAAAGTGAATTACAATTTCATTTAAACTGGTTTTTATATTGAAACGAAAATGTTAGTACATAGGCTTTGTTCAACAAAACACTAAATGCAAATTTACTTGGCAAGTGATATGAATTTGAAAACTCCCAAAGTTCTCAGAACCCTCACTGGTTGTTGCGTTCTATTTTAAGTTTTTTCAGAGGTTCCCACTCATAACCCCATAAAAACTGAGTCAAGGACCTCCAAGTGTATTGGTGAATCACAAAGTCTATCATTCTAATTAGAAGTTGTGACGTGTAAAGTTGGCCAAGTCAGGATTAGTTAAGTAACTCAACAACAAGGATGAATGAGGATCCTGATGTACCACTAATTGGCTAATGTAAAAAAATATGGCCCAATCGATTTGAAATAAGTGAGTGAATAGTATCGTTTTGCTGTGAAATATGAGAATCTTTGATTAGATTGTGAATAAGTCATTGGACATTTCTAATTTAGGATCTGTCCAGTATCACATGTCTTGTTAAACATTACCCTAGACACCTCTCACGGTATGGTATAGTTCAGAAAATATTAAACCCTCATAATAATGGTAAAATACTGCGCGATGGATATTCGACTAAGTTTCTCGACTAACGGTATACAGTGATCCTCGTGTTTACATTCTAGATGTATAATTAAAAGACAAAATAGTGAAAATGCAATATGTAAGACTGCAAGTATCCACATAACATATGAGCTGACTAATATTTTTTGGAACTACGGGTTTGTGGACGAAACATCCATCAAATGCTTCCTGATTTTGAATGTTCTTCTAACTTAGATTGGTTCGTGATCTCAATAATATTTTTAAAGTTATTTATGTAAAAACTTTTAAAACTACGGATTCCTATAACACTTTCAGTTCCAGTTAAATAAATGGAAGTATGTGCACAATTGACCTATCACTTAGTAGTGATCAGTGTTATGTAGGTAGTCATTCTTACTGGTGACCGAATTCTAATGACCTAGCTACGCAACTGGACGACATGAAATCTAATGCACCAGAGAAGATCAATTCCCTCAAGATTACAGGTACATTTTGTTGGGGAACACCAAGTACCACGAAACATCGGTCTACGGTTTCTTGTCGATTACCTCTAACTACCTAACATCCGAACGTAATCGCGGTCTTGTTCATTTTATTTAATGCAAACGAAATAAAATAACAAATAAAGCAATAATAACAGCTGTTTCTTAAAAGGATATAGTTTAAACCTAGCGGTATATATTTAATTAATGATCAGCACATCCATTTTAAAAGATACTTAAATATACACTCATTTAAATTATGAGTTGTTGTTAACAGTTAAAGATTTTTGTGTAGTTACTATTTCGTTCATATGCGTAAGAGATATAAACTAACGGTCTCTTTCATGCATCATCAAATGATATGATGAAACCTAAATTAGTAAAAAGATTCAAAAACCCAGAAACGATATCAAGTTCACCTTTTATTAATTCTCTGTAGATGAAATACTTAAAACATCGATCTAAACATAGTGTATTAGTGTTAGTAGTCTATCAAGTTTAATTGAACTTTTGTTCCTTATAGATTGTAAAATGACTTATTTGTAATTCGGTAAATTATAGTGCGACAAAGATTGTAAATATTTCTCATAATATTTTGACATTTCTTAAAAATACTGTTATGGATAAAATGCAAACTGGTTTGCTGCTTTCTAGACATAGTATGAAGTGTTAGAAATGATAAATAGTTTTGATGTCATTTTAAAATATTTCCGACAAAAAATAGATCCAAGTAACATTCAGAAAAAGTCTTTTACTGCATAAATTTTAAGCATAATTGTTAATACATTTTTTCTAAAGAATAGATGTCTCAAAACTTAAAATGAACCTGGACAGATAGTCATTTCAATGACTATAGAAGATACTTGACATTGAGGATATGGTGTGAAAAAAAGGATGAAAAGGTATGTATGAAGAAATACTACAATTCAAAATAATGAATGGATTCATTCACGTCATTTTAACTGATTATCAACAACTCCATCCGAACTCCATAACCACTGATCACGGTCATCATGCCGATAACAAACATGTAGTCTGCATCCACCAGCATGACTCCAGCCAACCAACATTCAATGACTTCATGCAATGGTGACACATTTTGATTTAACAACTCATTGCTTCCCTCCAACCCATTTCTACACCAGCAAGCAGCACACGTTCAATCAGGTGGTGATTAAATATACGTCACACCTGTCCCAGCCACTTCAGTTAATTAAGGTTCATAACCTCATCAACTGACTGGCCACTTTTGCCACGAATCCTACACCTAACCTAAACACTACTCATTCACGTGGTCAATCATTCTGAGACATCTGTGACAAGCAACACGTATTCTACACTTTTTGTGTACTTTCGTAAACCGTGTTTCATAGGCATGCAATAATACATAGTGCACCGCTGGGCGCGTTACTCACTATTTGCTTGAAACGCATATACTTCAATGTCATATGTGGCGTAAGCTGGCGAGCCACAGTCGAGATTGATGATTCCGTATTGAGATTTCATCAAACCCTGACCCATCAAGACGGATGAAACATCTAAGATAAGTGAAATGATCGACGTGCCCAACTCCATCTCTCTGTCCAAATCTTGATTCCAACTAGTCCCTGAACAAACATTTGCATTTAGATGGAGAAGTATGTGCGTAAGAAACGTGTTTACCTTGTCTCTCAAGGTGATCAGAAGACTCAATATTGTATCGAGGTCTCAAACAAACAGAACTATACCATCCACATATTCCAAGTCGGGGAGTAGATTATCTAATAGGAGGTAGACCACTGAATAAATAAGTAAGGAAAGATTGAATTTTAGGAGGAGATTCATAAGGAAATTGAATAGATAAAGGGACAGTGGATAACTTGGACGAACATAGTTTTAAGTTTGAAAAAAACCGATGAAAGTTCTCCACAAGTGCTAACTCGATCGATAGTGTTTGGTTAGAAAGCCCATACCAAGCTGATGTACGCTTTTGATATTCCCTTCACTGAAAAACACCAGCCACTTCCGCTTCTAACTTTCGTCCAACTTATTTCAACTGTATTCGACGACTAAGTATTCTTAGCTAAAAACGAAGAAATATATATTGTTTATTTTTTTCTCATGAACAATGAAGGATTGATTAAAATTGTTTAAAAAATACGGTTGATACAGTCATTACTTAACACTAGTATATGGTCTTGTAATGTAAATTTTTTGGACTGTGAGAATATCGAACAGAAAAGTGTTTTCATACATAAGAATAGATCCGTATTCAAGGAAACAATAATAATAATGGTTCATTCATCTACATTTAGTATTATGTACATCTGCTTACTTCACTTCAATAGAATGAACAATAAAGAAACATAAAGAAATACTCGAAATCGAGTATCCAATCAATAAAAATTACATTCATAGGTATAAATTATCAAATTTTAGGCTAACTGATACTACTGAAATTATCGAGGGTTTTCATTAATAAAGTATTTTCGTTCACTGATTCATTTATCCAACGGGAATTAATCCAGTGTATGCTAATTTTATGCGGATAGAATAAAATGAATAAAGGTGATGAATGAGTCGAAATCGGTGCTATTGAGGATGATGAAATTCGGTTAATATTTCTCGAACATGACATTTTACTTATACAAATATCATTAATTTGACAAGACAGTATTTTTTTATCATTCAAGTTCACGTTTATCGGATAATCATTCTTCAAGCTAGATTCTGTATCATTTAAGAGTAAAGAATTATTAGCCAGGTTGAATATGTTTACAATATCCCATAAAATTATTTGATTATTTGAATCCAAACTGAAAAATACTGAAGAACGAGTAGCTGACCAAATAAGTTTACGAATACTAATAAATGAACGATTAACTGAAATCTTTGATATTGATTCTGAAATTGGTGCTACTGTGTCATCTTTATTTTTAGTTAGTTTTATTTTGGATAAATTTGTTATTGGCACTGATGACGTAACATCCCATTCAAGTACAGGTTGAAAGTAATTTGTTTTATATAAACAAATTTTACCATCTGTATAACCTAGATAATAGAAACAGATTTTACAAATAATAATAATAATTATTATTATTATTAAAATTACATTGTTGAAATTGGTATATAAAAGGAGAAGCATTAACTTATTGTAGTCATTGAATAGGGTCACAGATATCAACAGAAAGATATAATCCATAGTTAATTATAAAGTGCCCATATATCTTTTTATTTTGCTTTTGTTTTTGTGTCCGTTTTACACTTGAAAAAGGATATTTTTATTTTGCTGGTATAATTCTATTCGAAGATTCTGTTGATTAATACGTCTTACACACGATAAAAGATATTTTAAGAAAAAAAGAATTATTCAGGTGAGTTATTTGATATACCAATGCAGATGAAACAAGAAAAAAGGAACATTTTTTGATTTGTTAACCAAGTTGATTATTTATGAAAAAAAATTATTGTAGTATGAGATTCATTGCGACACTCAGTTGTTCACTTGAACATCAAGCATGGAGAACAGCTTTTTCTGATGCTATAATCAATTAGATAGTACTCGTTTTAAAAAATGCGCTTGTTCTACGATGACTCACTGGATTGTAATGTAATCGTAATATAGTTGTTTTAATTTTAAATCGGTTTTACTAGATAATAATTTAAGAAGTCAACATTTAAACCATTGAGCGATGGTTTAGAAATGTCTAGTTTTGTGTAGACAATCGCTGGTTCGTGCCTAAAAGTTAATCTATGTCTGAAAACTCTTCATACGATTAAGTTGTTAGAAGCTGTCGTTTTTTGACAGCTATTACTGAGAATCATTCACTAGTTAGTTGAACTGATCGCAATTTTGCATCTTATTGAGTTCTATTTAAAGCAGAACAGTACTTAACTGCTATTTCATCTTACTACTGGAATCAGCTGCGCGCACCAGGAAGTAAACCAACTCGAAACATATAGGTTTCTCAGCGAGAGAATAATATTTAGACTACAGAGTTAAAACCGAATATGTCACATTCCCATCTCCAATTCTCGAAATGGTGAGATCTTGGACAAAAAACTATGTACTGTATGTGTCTGTCAACCTTATTCAATGTAACTTCATCAAAAAATGAAAACGAGACCATGAAAATGATTTGTTTTTTGTTACATCGAGTTATGCTATTGTCCAATCGTAGTATGTCACGTTGATGTTCTAGAAAGCTCCACCAGGTTCTGATTAGATGGAATCTCTTCTGCTCCTTCAGAGCCTCCTAAGGCTCCGTCGCGCTTCTCAACAGCTTACAAGCATTAGTTTTACATAGTCAAGTTCAATATGAAAGAAATTATGTACCAAACAAATGATCGTGACAAATATGAATCTCACTTTAACGAGTAAACCGTACCCAGCAATAAAAGGGATTTTTATTATTTCTTCAATAAGTTATGTGATCATTTATATGGATCTCTGAATATTAGACAATAATGAATAACTGATTGCTTCCCTGGATACGGATCAGAAATAAGTATTCTTTAGACAAAAACTATAAAGTCCATTAAAAAAAGAAATTGATGAGTTAATCTTCAATAAAATCATTTGATAGTATTACGTTGTCACCACACAACAGTACCACTAAAACATTTTATTCATCCTTATTGCTGTCTTCAGAAGATTCGGACTTATCAGATGACCTGACCCATCTATCCCATGCACACCAACAAATGCAGATGAAGACAACTAGTGTGACAGCATCCTCAAATACAACATTAAGAACACCAACCCAATAACACTTGATACAGAAGATGTGGACTCTTTCACGTACCTGGATAGCATCATCGATGAACAAGGAGAATCGGATGCAGATGTTAAGGCAAGGATTGGCAAAGCAAGGACAGCATTCCTACATTTGAAGAACATATGGGACTCAAAACAACTGTCAACTAATATCAAAGTCAGAATCTTCAATACGAACGTCAGGACAGTCCTACTGTACGGAGCTGAAACGTGGAGAACTACTACAACCATCATCAAAAAGGTACAGATATGTATGGACAGTTGTCTACGCATAATACTCAATGTCCGATGACCGGATACCATCAGCAATAGTCTACTGTGGGAGAGAACAAACTAACTTCCAGCTGAGGAGGAAATTAGGAAAAGACGTCGGAAGTGGATAGGACACACATTGAGGAAATAATCAAGCTGCATCACGAGGCAAGCACTTACTTGAAATCCTGAGGTGAAACGAAAAAGACGAAGGCCAAAGAACACAGTACGTCGGGAATTGGAAGCAGACATGAAAAGGACGAATGGCAACTGGAAAGGATCGCCCAGGACAGAGTTCGTTGAAGAATGCTGGTGAGCGGCCTACGCTTCTTCATGACAGGTAACATGCGCAAGTAATTACGTAGTTATTGATGTCTTGTTGTAGCGGACACTACTCACAAGAATGTTTGTAATTAGTGTGTAGAGGAACGCGGTGTCGAATTTGCAACAATTTTCTCACAGAGTGAAGAGTTTCAGTACATCAGAAACACGGCATTGACAGAACACTTGGAGGCCAGTCGATAAAGCAGTTCAGATTGAAGAACAAACCAAGAGATGCAAATGGACGATTGAAAGCTATGTATATGTGTTATGTAAATGTTTTGTAACTTCTCACAATAAACACATACATACCTCCACTCTATTTTCTTGTTTGATAAGGTAAAGATAAGTAAATTAACATGTGATTCGATACGTAGTAGTCGATCAATTATTAATACGTCATCATTCTACAGTCTGTCAGTTGCTGCTAGAATAGATCAGTGATAACCTTCAGACTGTGTCACCGGTTGACGTGAAATGGGATCCGTCGGGGGAATCAGTTCCCCCAAGTACATTTTGTTGGAGTCTAAAACTGCACAAAAACTTAGTTAAGGGTCTACTTCTCACTGCTTTCAACTACCACTTTCATTTCAACATTGTAGACGTGATGTCGAGTCATTTAGACTAGGTGTCGTATCGCAACTGGATCGACAGGATTGGATTGGCACTTAGAAGTACTTGACATACATGAATGACATGAGCAGTAAATCAAAACATTATTCACTACTTAGTGGTCACTCAATCGTGAATTACAATATCAGCTATTTATTCGTTTAATTCAAAATTGTGGATGTAGTAAAATTATATTATTATTATTATTGAGCACATTTAACATCAAATAAAAACACAGACACGCTAAGTAATATTTTTTCTTTGTTTTTTTCTCATGCCTTCACTTTTTTAAATTAATTTGTCAATCTCATTGTTCATTCATTTTCAAATACGTGATTATTGTATAAACATTAAATACCAATTCTATATTCAGCATAATTATTATAATGAACTGAGTAATCAGTCATAGTTGTCTAGTGACCTTCATATTCATATATGATTCATATGTGCAGGAACATTAAGTCTATGTACTTGATACCTGACAACAATAATATTGGTATTTGCCAGAATGATTTTCTCATCAAACTCTTTAGATAAACAATTGTTTCTTATTACTTAAATTCATTATCCAATTTATTCAAGCAAATGTTCAGTTGACTACAGATGTATATATCTGTGCACTACAGGTATTTGTGAATATAACAGTAAGCATTGTAATGGATTTCGTTCGAAAATCTTTGAAGTACTTTAACTACTTCAGGAAAATGTAGTTTTTACAAAAATCAAACTTGAAATAGACCAAACTATAAATATTACTGAGTTCTCTCATGTAACTCAACCATCATTAAATTCAAAATAAACTACTTAATGAGTTTTAGGAAAGATTAACGATAGTTCATTGTTCACAATTGATTGATCACTGGGTGGTGATCAATGTCATGTGTGTCAAGTCCTTATTTGGTGCAGATCGAATGCTGTGGACCATGTTGCAATGTGGCCACCAGTCTAGTTGACTCGACACTGCGGCCACTATATATTGAGATTAGATGGTGGTTGGAGGTAGTCGACAGGAAACCCTGGACCCGGGTTTCGTACTACTTGGCACTCGTCAGCAAGGTGTACCTGGTGTCCCTTTCGTTTGTTCGTAGATTTTGTTGTCGAATTGAAAATATTTTTTTGAATGTAAAACAAGTACTAGTTCTATACAGGGACATTTAATCAACTATGGACACATCGCTCCAAAGGATTACTTTTTTAAAGTATGTAGTGCCCGCAGTGTTGAGTCACCTAGGCTGGTGGCCACATTGCAACATGGTCGATAGCATTCGATCTGCACCAAATAAGGACTTGACACACATGATATTGATCACCACCCAGTGATCAACCAATTGTGATTACATCTCAGTTCTACAGGAGGTCAGTCGCGGCTCGGATAGCTTAGTGGTAACATCTCTGACTGTGAAGCTGGGTGATACGGGATCGAATCCGCCAGGGAGCATCAGTTCCCTCAAGATTACAGGCACACCTTGCTGACGAGTACCAAACAGCACGAAACCTGGGTCTAGGGTTTCCTGTCGACTACCTCCAACCACCATCTAGTCTCTGTAGTTCATTGTTACTAGGCTTCAGTTCAACTCTAATTAATGCAATAAACTTCTATTGATCTCATTAATACGAGAAATAGTCTTATTTGTGCGCTTCATTAAAATTTGGAAAATCCGATTGCCTTTTATTTTGTCATATATCTATACTCTTCGACCGATCATCCATTTTCGGCTTATTTCAATAAGTTCACTCAATTTATCACACCTCAAAATCATTAAAATGTATAATTGAAGGAAAGAAAAATCATAATCCAAAGCGATCTAAATTAGTTGATCGACTGAACTCACTGTTATCAGATTTGAACAACGAAAGAACAATAAAATTTGCAGGACAAAATGAATTCTGTCAGTGTGAAGGTTTCTCGTCAACTACAAACAGACTGAAACTACAAGAAGTGATACTAATAAACATAAAGATTTAAGATATTTTAGGTAATGAATTTGAGATGAATGTTAGGAATGGAACCATAATGAGCGGAAAAAATATGAGGTGATACTAAACGTAATTAAAACTGACGACCAATAATATGCTTACAAAAGCTAGACATAGGAAGCAGTCAAAATAAGATTTTATTCGCCATTAAATAATCACAACGAAAAGATAAATGATTACATAACAGTCGCCATAAACATGATTTTCAGTTCCGTTTTAATCATTCATCTCAGACTCATTAACTAAGATATCTCGAACTTTTGTGTTCAATAGTATCACTTGTAATTTCAGGCTGTTTGAAGTTGATGACAGACCTTGACACTGATCGAATTTATTTTGTCCCGCGAATCTTGTTTTACTTTCTTCGTTTCAAATAATCCTTGTACCTACTTCTTAAAATCAAGTTTACACGTGCGCAGGCGATACACCGCCTTGTCAGATTTACGTAAAACATCTATGAAATGCTGAGGATTTTTTCTATTTTACCCATTAGTGTAAACGTTTCGATCCTACAGGGAGTTAGCCACAGTCTAAAAGACTGAATATCAATTCTTCTCACTGACGCTAATGGATATTTGCGTTCAAATCCCACTAAGAGAATCAATTCCCTCAATATTGTAGATGTGAATTGTTAGATCTAGGGCTTCCTTTGTTACCCTTCAACCATCAAGTGGAGTGTGATGACTAGTTAATTAGTCCGGTTTCCACAACGTATTTAACTGAAAAAAACTGAACTAGCATTAAAAATTAGAAAAAATGATATTGATTGCTACTCAGCGAATCATAACCGTAAGCATTTCATTTCAACCTCAAATAACACGCTTGAATATCTACTAAATACAAAGTTCTTACAACTAAAGAAAACATAGGGTAGTTTTTCTGTCTGAAGAAATTAGACAATTTTTAAAAGTTATGCAATTGAATATAGCCATTTGTATGCATAAGTTATACAATAAAATATCCAACCTGCAATAAATATATGTAATTCTGCATTTGGATGCGTTTCTACTGTCTGTACAGCTGAACAACATAATATTCGTGAAAATAGTTTAGGATAAACTGTTTGATTAGGTGTACGTCCGCGATGTATAATTTGACCATTGCTACAACCAATCAAGAAATTCCCATGTTTCGTTATGGCTAAACAAGTGGTTATAACTTTATTATTCAACCGATTTGACAGATTCCAATTATTCTTTTCTGTTTGAAATTTTAGACTATTTTCTGTTAATGAAGGCGGAATCTAATAAGGGAGAATTGAAAGAAAAAGATTTTCCAAATGTAATTTTAATACATATCTATGAGAGTGTTGAATAGTTAATTATTCCGGACTGAACATTATAGAAATATTTTACATCTTTTGTTTTATTAGATTCAATAGGTTGATATAATTAGAGACAAATAGCTAAAAATAATAATTTGAACTACATACAACACAAGTATGCTTATATAACTATTGCTAATATGTCAGAACGTTTTGATATATTGGGAAAAAGAAAATTATCTCTTTTCGTAAAAGACTGTCAACAAAAGATTGGTTTTAAATAGGCTTATTATATTAATTAGTGTGACTTTCAGATAGTTGTTTTATCATAAGAGTTATTCGTATAAGATCGATTTAAATAAAAACGTATGTGAACCTCCCTTTTTATTACTAAATTATGCATTTACTCACAATTGATAATCTTCTAACACTTAATGTTATCTTATGCTTCAGATTATATAATCGGAAAAAGAATACAGGGTCGTTAAACAAACATCATATTTATATCATCCTCTAAAATGACTATGCTTCTAATCTAGAAAACCGATAAGTGTAGTACAAAGTATCGGCCATGTTTGTAATCGGTTTTAAGAAAACACACGTTTAAATTCTTTACAATAATTTGATTCTGAACTGGATATTAGTCATTTGTTATTGTTCTTCTTCAGTATCGTTATATAGTATGAATTTATGGTTCTGAATACCAAGTTGATCAAAAATACTTCGTTCAACTGGAATTTAATCAGGGTTTAATTTCCAAAACGTTTCATAGAAAGTTTCTTAATTTGAATGTATACACCGGACGTTTATTCTATCTGTTTAGTATATCCTCAAGCAGCAAATGAATTACATGTTACTTCGATACAAAAATGCAAAATAGTTAACAATGTGTGAAGTTTCCTGTGTGCCGTAATCGCCACGAGACCTCAAGATTAAAGGGTCTTTTTCATGATTGATTTCAGGTGAACTCTTCTAAACAGCTCTAAACCAGCCAACAGATGCTTCTTGGATTCGATGGTTGCAATAAATCAAATTAGTTCGTTTTTAAATAGATCAAACATATATTACCAAAATGTAAAATGACAGACAGTTTGCAAAACGTGAATGATCGTTGGAAAAGAATAATCATAAATTGCACGTGGGATATTAAAGCATACGTGCTTATTAGTAAAGCAAAACGTGATCTTTGACAAGTAATAATCTTCGTAGTTAAATAGAAATCTTTAACTTACATTTATCTGTGTTGATTTGTACTCGATGAACAGTAAGCGAATTATACGTAAACGACTGGTGCCGGGAGATAAACAGTAATCTATTTGTGAGCCTGCAAAGCTTTCTATAGTATTTTGCACTCTATACTTTTGATTCATCAATACTAGCCATAAACTAATGTTACCAATTTCGTCTAATGCAAGCACTTGAAATTTATCTATATCTGTAGTTGATTCATCTACTAGTTCACGATACCTATGATGATCACCGACTGCAATTTTAACAGATATAATTGGACTAAAGTGATTATGTTGTTGAGTCACACAGTTGACCAATGATTGAAGCTTGCATGTATTTGTGGAATCTTTATATTCTACAAGTGATGTTTTATAGGTTGGTAACAAAACAGGCAGGTTTAAAAATTCATTGAGTCCTGTGGAAACAGACTGATGTTGAACGTCATCTAAAATCGATAAACTTGTTGACTTCATAGGTATTTCATTGGAATACTTGTGTTGATCCCAAATAGACAGACCTCCGTCGTGTAGACCAGCAATTACCTCAACGCAGAAATGATAAAATGAATACTCATTATTTATTAAGATATAATAGTTGTTAAATAAAAAATGAATACTGTGGGTTTGTCGCATAGGTGAATAGAACAGAGAAAAGATATATAAAAATATCAAAGAAATCCATGAAAATCGCTAAATTCATCAGTAATAGTCAGAATCAACAGATTGACACAAATTTCGCTTATATCAAGCTACCATACGACGATAGAACGACAAAATGAAATTAACAGGATGAAAAGCAAATGATCTAGTAGCGGTGATGATGAGAAACACCTGACATTGAGAATATGGTATGAAAAAAAGGATGAAAAGGTATGTATGAAGAAATACTACAATTCAAAATAATGAATGGATTCATTCACGTCATTTTAACTGATTATCAACAACTCCATCCGAACTCCATAACCACTGATCACGGTCATCATGCCGATAACAAACATGTAGTCTGCATCCACCAGCATGACTCCAGCCAACCAACATTCAATGACTTCATGCAATGGTGACACATTTTGATTTAACAACTCATTGCTTCCCTCCAACCCATTTCTACACCAGCAAGCAGCACACGTTCAATCAGGTGGTGATTAAATATACGTCACACCTGTCCCAGCCACTTCAGTTAATTAAGGTTCATAACCTCATCAACTGACTGGCCACTTTTGCCACGAATCCTACACCTAACCTAAACACTACTCATTCACGTGGTCAATCATTCTGAGACATCTGTGACAAGCAACACGTATTCTACACTTTTTGTGTACTTTCGTAAACCGTGTTTCGTAGATATGCAATAGTACATCGTGCACTATTGGACACAATGTAACAGGTGGTGTTTTATTAGAAAGCCTCCCATTTGTCAACATTGCCCTTAGGCTTTGCATTCAACGGAAGTGAATGTCGTTTTAAGGTCAAGAAGTACTACTAACGGGGAACTTAGATAGTTATGTGTTTAGTCAAAAATCCGAAAAAGGGTGAATATCAAAAACTGATCGATGATGAGATCACGAGTGCTGTTGAGAATATGAAACAGGTTGTCATTTTTGTTTTTAATACAATGAGAAGATGCTTCTTCTCGAGAACCCTGAAAAGAAATCTGTATTAGAAGTGGTCTTGTCGACTTAGGAGCATCTTTAATGTCAAAGTGACGACAAATTGAGATACATAATCTTTATCCAAATATTTTCAGAAGCGTTGGCTTCTTAATTTTGAGTTCTCAGTGCAGACGACATATATCCGTTTTGTGAAGTGAGGTATGGCATTTTCAATTCCAGATTTTCCTAAACCTATCTCTCCGTTGCGGAAATGCAGAAACGTTATAGATGCTGGTTGTATGACTACCCGAGTGTAATGTGTTATATGACTTTGTTGTCGAACAATGAGTTTTCTGCTTATAGCCTTACGGCTCTCTAACTGACTTAGTTGACATAGCGGAATGTGAAGGAATAAGCGTCTCAGACAATAAAGAGGGTGGTACTCAGTATTGTTAACCACCTACGTCATTTATCCTAACCTTTGGACAGATAACTTAGTCTAACATTCCCAGTCATTCTATAATTTACATGTGCTACTTGAGCGTGTGTTTATCGTAGTATGTTTATGTCTGTATACTTGCTTGTATCTTTTATGCTAGTAGATGTTGAGTAACGTTTTGAATACAGTGGGTAACTCTGTTTACTACCTCCGATCGGCTATTCTCTTGTCTTTCTGCCCTTATAAACATCTGAAACGTATATATCCAAAATCATTCTCGTGTATGACTTGTGATATACCGTTGTTTTAAACGTGTTAAGTCCACAGAAAATACATGGAGTCAAGTAGGATATTTATTTTACCAACTAAATTAACTATTTGGTGTTATCAGAAAAAGAAAATGGGCACAAAAACCCCGATTAAAAAAATCACTTTATACAAACCCAACCACAGTACTACGGTAGCAGCTACTTTTTGAATAATTAACTGATGAATTAGTTTACGCGTTTATTGTTAAGATGGCTAACTGCAAAACATTCTGAACACTCATTAAAAATCACCAGATTTTAACACAAAACCCTTTAGCATCAACCTCAAATATTTTTTGGACTAGTCTGTATCTACTCACAATAAATTATAGCAGTATCACTACTTCATTTCTTTAAACAGACGGCTTGTAGGTCATCGTAGAGATCTTGTATTGAAATCGTAGTCCAGGTTCAAAAACAGATTTAAACAAAAAAGTGTTATCTTTATTTTAAATATGTGAGGTCAGTCTAGCGATCAACGATAACGTGTTAAAGCCAATGGTAACTTTAAAGCATTGTAGATTCATTATCAACTTTAAGATTATAAATGAAAAATTTCTCTAGAAAAAATATATTAAATTTTACTGATGCATGTGCTTGATGTAATCATCAATCATTTAAGTTGAAACAAGATTCCAGTTAAAGTGATAGTAGAATAGAATAGTAAGAAACTTTACTAATCCCATCCATGAGTTTATCGAATATCTATTGAATCAATATAGTATTGGTTTTACGCATTTATCTTGTGAACTAACATGAGATCAGCATTTATGTTATAAAGAAACTGTGAATATCAAATAATAACAATGTCTATCAAATAATTTATCATAAAAGTAAGAAAATACTGATTATTTTCTAATTGTTTACTCAACATAAATTATAAGAATAAACTCTTCATTATTCAGTAATAAGTAAACTTCAAATGGATTATTTATTGTAAACTTCGTAAGTAGACTTAATAGTGAATACAAAAAACAAAAACAAAAAAGAACTGTAAACAATAAAATGTAATTCATGAATCACAGGCATTCTATTTGTAAATTATACAATATGAATCATCTTATTACTTTCTCTTGTTATTTTCTTTTCTTCTAATTGATGAAACCTTATTTAGATAATTTTTATAACAATTGAAGAAAGTCTATAATATATTTGATAATTAAATCAAATACAACTAAAATATTATGCTCTAATTCAACGAGTGTTGCTGTTGTTGTTGTTGTTGTTGTTGTTGTGTTTTATTCTCTTCTAATTATTAGAAACATTTGTTTCCAAATATAGACAGACGGATAAATTGAATAAGGTCATTCTATAATTGAAAATGTAAACTGAAATTATATTGTCTACATGATGAATGTATGCTGTGTTATTTATTTATTTATTTTTTCTTCTTTTACAAATTAATTTTTTCTTTTTATTTTCACAGAATTTTTAAAGAAAAACACCGTTGAGAAATATCAATAAAAGAAGAGAAGAAAATCACTTGGCAATACTGTAACTGCATTTAAATATAAATCAATCATGAAAAGTTATTCTCAATGGCTGCATTTAAAATATAATCTGTTTACATGAATTTTTAAAGTTTATATTTATATTGTGTAAAAGAAATTAATGACAATAGTTGGAAAATCTTAGAGAATCATGATATTTTTAAGCTCTGACTCAAAATACTCTAATACGGTCAAGGTCTGAGAAAGTTCATACTCCGATCGAAATACTTTCACATGGCTATAAGTCTATATTCTCTGTCAGGAAAGTTCCGATTACTGCTTTTATAAGACTTGAGTGTTGTTTTCGAAATCAAAAGGACTAAAAACGAACACTTTCAGCTTAGAGCAGTTAGATGGATACGGATGACGTATCAAGGGGGGCAGGGAAACTCTTATTCAGAACCAATGGTTTACATTCGCGTTACAATTCTCAAGCAATGAATGGTATTCGGATCTATTTTCACTCATTGGTTATTAATGAAACTTCGTTTCTTGACGTTTGTGCATTAGGCCACTAGGTAAAAGAATAAAAGAGTGGCCTCGTGATGAAGCTACCTATCGAGCTAGCACACGAGTCTTTGTGTGGGGTATACTATTCCCGCTGAGCAGATGGGCTCCATTTTCTCTAAGGTATTTATAAATTCGGCCCTAGGCATCTCAGAAGTGTGTAGTTGCAATCATAGGACTTCCAGGTGTGATAAAAAGCAGTATTCTCTGTTGGAACCAAGCATTACATTGTCTCTATAAACTGACGTTCACTATTGAAGGGTCTTTAACTAGGAAACATCAATTGTTCAGTGTTTCTCGGTTTGTAAATGTTTTGCATCTCCTGTCTGTTTTTAAAGAAAACTAGCCTCAAATAAATCAATCTAAATAAATGCGTTTAAGCAATATTTCAGATAAAGTTACTACGGTTGACATTTCTCGAAGTATATTCTACTTCACAAATAATCGGGAAGTCTTGTAAATTGGCGAATATTTTTAGCTAATATCTGATTATAGTATTCGTGATAACCGAACTTGAGAACATGAACTAGTGTGTTTATAGTATTTTTCCAAAACTGCATATCATTTTGAAATTCGAAGCATTTTTATATTTCAATTTACAATAAATCATTGCAAATAACTAAGACATATTTATCTATAATTGAGATTATATTTTGAACAAAAAAGATAAATCAGTTTATCTGAGGAGATTTCGAATAAACACATTATGCATCTAACGAGTTAATATACTTAGAAAAATTATAGTATCACTCAATTTCGTCTTCATTTATTAAGAAAGGTGTTTCAGTATAACACTCGTTCATTTCTAAATTGATAAAAAATCTCAGCATCTACTCAGATATGGTGAACTAATGAATATTTACAAAAATATCATTCAATGTTTATTTTCTATAGACTCTATCCCATTTAGTTCAAATAGACTAGTCAAATTCTGTTGTAGTTCACCATAGATTTCAAACAAAATATAGATGAAATAATGTTTTTATTTCGATATCTAAAAGATTACACCAATAAACTAACATTAATGAAAAACTAAACAATTACTAAAGTAAGCTGTAACAGTAATTACAGCGCCTTTCGATTATATATATAATTGCAGAAAGACAGCTGATAGAATTTTGCCTATGACATACATATAGGTAATTTCTTAAAAAAGGTTTTGTTCTCTATATGAACATACATTTGTATTTGGTCAAATGGATTGTTGATA